CACCCTGTGCATTTCATCCCCTTCCTCATCCCCATCAGCAAAACCAGAACCAGCTAATATTATCGAGTGGCTACTCTGCCCAGTATCATGACCACAAACATTGTGTGGCACGTAGTCCGACTCTTTCTCGGATTGACTAGCATCCACATTGGGTGGCTGTGACCCGGATAAATCAATCTCGTTAGCCACTTGACTGCCATGGTCGGGTTCATACCCCTTGTGGAGTTGTACGATATTCTCCTCCTTCGCCACAGGTTGCACAAGGGCATATGGGTGGATTTTTCGATCTCGGCAACGTCTTAACAGGGTCAACCAATGCTGGCTCCTATCTACGGCATCAACTCCCACTTCACATTTTTACAGGATTTGGTCCACAATGCATGAATACTGACGGAACATACTTGAGGATCTAGCTCGAAACTAGTTCTCAACCAATACTTCAACTGTCTAATGTCCAGTCCGTCCGGGTCTGCTAGTGTCATGATACCATTTTTAAACTTGCTAAGATCAACCCCCACTCATTATATCAAACATTACTAGCGCCGTAGTAAACAGTCAAATTTAGTGATTCAGACATTTTCACCTGTCAGACATTGTCATCTTCTCATTAATCACAATGAACACTATTATTACCCGCTACACTAACTATGTGCTAAAATGCCTCCACAAACATATTAACACTACAATTCGCAATATGACTTATCTACACTAACTAAACTATACAATTCAGAGAAAAATTGTGACGACATGGTTATACCTTCAAAGCGTGTGTCCCTAGCTTCTTGCTCCTCTCTTCGACTCAGCGGCACCGGCCACTTCGCGGAGTACTTGCACCACCGGACAACGACAGTGCCGCCCCCTCGACGACCGGAGGTTCAACTCCGGTCACCCCCTCCCCCCATGCTGCACCTCCTCCTCGCCACCTCCTCCTCCACAGCTGCTGCTCCTCCTCACCACCACCTCCTGCCCAACCGCACCTCCTCCTCCCTACCACGGCTCCTCCTCCCCATCATGGCTCTTCCTCCCCAAACGCACAAAAAACTACCCCGTAGCAAAAAAACACCATAGGCCATCGGGGATTACTACGATCTACCGATTTTGTGGCTTGGATGTGAAAATGGGTGGCAAATGAAGGAGACCGGCGCGGGGTGGCGAGGTACAGAGAAGAACGAGAGAGAGAAAGGGAGAACAAAGGCAAAAAGGCCGATCAAATGGCGTCATCAACTAAAAATTTAATCTCGAGATAGCAAGGTGCAGTTTAGCGCGGGAACACGACGTCTGGTATATTCAAACCTCACAGCCGTATGAATAGGCATGATGATAGATTAAAATAGCTTAGTTACTTATCAGATAAGATCATAAAAGATGCTTGTTTTGACAGAAGTGCAGTTGACTAGACCGCTCTTGATGCCGATGCTCAACAAACTTGCGAAGCAGTACACTTCCACGCATCGAATTGATTGTTGTTGCGTTGCGGATTGAAATAATATCATAGCTTAACCGGCCTGCAGTTGGTGCTGCTACCCAAGTCTAATATAGGACAGGGTCCTAAGTAACGTTATAAATTGATTAGGAAGACTTCGCACAACACTCAAAGTCTTCAAGTCTTCAAGTATAGTAGCTGCTAGTTGTGATCTAAACAACAAAATCTTTTAGAAACTCTCAGTTGTCCTCTCTGGCTTTATCTAATTGGGAAGTGCTACAAAGCAGGTGCGCATGTCAAAATGTTCTGAAGTTGTTGTATATCAAGAGTTTAAGACATGTTGTTGTAACAAAAGAAAAGGGGGGACATAGGTAGGCACAGAGCTTTGAATTGTACTATTAGCATTATGTAATAACTAAACAATCAGTTTTGCATATTGTACTGCAGTGACCTCCTGTGGCTTCACGACGAGGATGATCATCAGAAGATATGCAGGAGGGTTCATCTCTCTAGATGTGATGATGGACTTCGGCGGTGAGATGCAAACTATGGACAAAGACTTAACGCAGAGGGATGGTTGTGCAGCGGCGGTGATCGCTCATCGCATGTAGCTGCGAGATCATGAAAAAGTGGTGGCGACAACACGAGTGACTTCGATGGTGTGCTACGGGCACCAAGTCTTGAGATCTGGCGTGAAATCCTAGGTCTGCCCGAGTTGGTTATGCGTAGCAATGGCGACGTTGTTTTCCGCCGTTACCTTGTTGAAGGCATTGTTTGGATTCTCTTTGACTGATTCTTCAACGTGAAAATCTAAGTTCTAGCCTTGGTGGTTGGATCCGTGATGGCGACGTCTGAATGTCGCTCCCTTCCTGAAGGCGTTGTTGTTGAAGAATTTTGACGTCCGCGTGGTGTCATGAAATAGTTGATGTGGATATGGCCATTTCTATAGTTAGTTTATCAATCACGGATTTGAATGTTGTGGAACTTTTTCTTTTTCTCGCCTACACATAGCTTCGGTCTTATATGACTTTGCTAGTTGTCGGCGCGTTTTTGTGTGTTGGTGTTGGCCGTGTGCATCCTGGCTATGCAAAGACTGGGTGTGTGCTCATAGTGTTTGTATCCTCTTGATGCTTCATTTTGAGACAATAAAATCCACCCTTTATCGAAAAAAAGACAATCAGTTCTAGCTAGCTTGAAGGACATACAGGAAAAGATCAAATATTTAGAGAAATGCTATGTGTATTAGCAGCTAATAATGTTACCAGAAAACTCTTAAATGGCTGTACAGAAATGTCGTATTGCTTAATCAAAAGTTATAGTTTCTCTGGTTAGAACAATGCACGACACAACGCATGTTTGTGCAGGTAGGTTGCAACTGTCGTAGCAGAAAATCATATGAGTCAACGCACTGAGAGTCTGGGACACTTGTCATCTAAATGGCAGAATCCTAAGGTAATGCACTTTAGGTGGATTTTCTCATCGGCTGGGTTTCTTCCATTTGCCTCTGTCCTTTGGACTGAGACTGGAGGAGATGCCGGTGGTATGAAGAACCTGCCCTGTTTGTTTCAGCTTCGCTTGGATTAAAATCACCTATGGATTCGCTCCAGGGTCAAAGCTGATTCTGCGAATCAGCTTCACCACCGAAGTACACTTTGAGGTGCTTCAGAAAGTTGCACTAAAAATGGCCCAAAACCAGATTCAGCTTCACTGGCAAAGCTGATTCCAAATAGCCGTTTGTTTCAAATTTCAGATTCAGCTTCACTGGCAAAGCTGAATCTGCTCCCTGAAGCTGAAACAAATCCTACCTTCAAGTAGTTGTTAGGGCTTGCTTTTTTGGCTTTCCCTTTGAGAAAAGTATGTTTTTGATCCCTCACATTTCTTAAAAGTGTAGACTTGGTCCCTCAAGATTTTTGGTATACATTTGGTTCATCAAGTCTCAAAACCAGATAAGTTTGGTCCAAAACCAGATTTTAAGCACGTAGACCGAGTTTGACCATGTTTGACCAGGTTTGACCACGCTGACCAGGTTTGGATGATGAACAGTAAACTCAAAAGGATGGTGGTTTCACAAAATTTCGGATTTCTTTTTAATTTACCATTCATCAGTAAAACGTGGTCAACATGGTCAAACCCGGTCAACGTGCTCAAAATCTGGTTTTGGACCAAACTTGTCCTGTTTTGAGACTTGAAGGACCAAATACATATCAAAAAATCTTGAGGGACCAAGTTTATACTTTTGGGAAACTTGAGGGACTAAAAATATATTTTTCTCTTTTCCTTTTATCCTGCATGTTTTAACAGGCATGTGGCTGTGTTACAAATACTCCCTCCGTCCCATAATGTAAGACGTCTTTCGACCCTAGGGTCAAAAGACGTCTTACACTATGGGACGGAGGGAGTACTCTCCGTCGTCTAGAATTAGCATACGTATTACTAGATTTTTACACAATTTCCTGAAATAAAGAACTTTCTATTTTTTTAAATAATCCCGATACAATATTATTTTACTTGTCGGTTTTCCCAGAAAGTGTGTACTCTCTCTTCGGTCATTTTTACTCCGCATATTAGATTTGTGTCAAGTCAAACATTACAAAGTTTGATCAAGTTTATGTTGAAAAAATATTAACAAGATCAAATATATATACTATGAAACTACATTTCATGACGAATCTAACAATATTGATTTGGCATTGTGAATGTTGATATTTTTTTCTATATTTTTGGTAAAAATAGAGACACTTTGACTTTGGATAAAACTTATATGCAGATTAAAAAAGACCAGAGGGAGTACCAACTAGTAACAACTTATGGAGCAAAAATGGGTAGGCGGCGATGGAGTGGGGATGGAGCAATGCCTCAAGCTACGGTTTCAACATAACTCATGAGCGTGGATATAAAATACATGTGAACTAAAACACGGATTATTCCACTTGGATCATGTATTTTATTCAAGCCAGTCGCAACAACCACAATGACAGTCAACATTAAGTTCGAACCTACGGTTCACACCGTACCACGGGCATGTACAATGGTTGATAAGACTGTTTTATCTTAAGTCTTGCATGTAATTTAGAGATAACAAAAAAATATGTCTACAATGGGTTATATCTTAGTCTTATCTTCAATAACTAGTCATTCCTTAAAACATGGTGAGACAAATTATGCTAAGAGATCATCTCTTGTCTTATCTTAAATAAGAGAAGACAAGCCTTCTCTTATGAGTTCTCTCTCCTCCATCTCATCATTTATCCTACGTGGCACTCTTAAGATAGCACCATTGTACATGCCCAAGCTGGCTAGCAGATCAAGCACCCGTCCCCTGTATAAATGGCCATCTCCCACCCGCCCCTTCCGGTCTCATCACCATTGCTCATTACATGCATCCAGTCCCTCTTCCAACTAGTGCTTCGGCTGCTGCCGCCGCCCGAGCGGAAACGAAACCTCCGGCAGCGAATTTCCGGCGCGCGTGCGCTGGCTGAATTCTGCCTCCGCATTAGCTGCGGTTTCTTGGAGGCAGGGTCCGTGCTTCCGTCCGCTGGCTGACTTCTTGGGGACGAGCTAGAACCGGCGGCCGGACATGCCTAGCCGGGTGGGCGCTGACGACACCGGGGGCGGCCCCGGAGTGGGGGAGATCGTGGAGGCCAGCAGCGGCGCGCGCGAGAGTGCCGTGCCTCCGGGGAATCGTTCCGCGACGCGGAAGACCGCGCGGTTCGTGGAGCCCATGCCGGCGCCGCGCGGGGGCGGCCCGAGCCGCCTCGACAGGTCCATGTCGTCCGTCCCCGCGCTCGCGCTCGAGGGTCTCAAGTTCATCAGCGAGACAGACGCCTCCAAAGGATGGACCCGCGCCGCCGGGTTCTTCGACAGTAACGCCCAGAATGACCTCCTCCCCCGGTCCATGTTCGGCGAGTGCATCGGTACGTCAAACGCCTCGCCTCGCTCCGCCTCATCTCAATCGGAAACACAATTCGCTCGTGCCTGATTAGTTGTGCATCACTGTAATCAAACAATAATTTTGCAGGTATGAAAGAGGTCGCGTTCGCCGGCGAGCTGTTTGACACGCTGGCAAGGCGGCGGGGCATCTCCGGGGACAGCATCGACAAGGCGGAGCTGCGTGAGTTCTGGGATCAAATTTCAGACCCCAGCTTCAAGAGCCGCCTGCAGCTCTTCTTCGACATGTACGCTAATTATAAACTACGCCCCCATCGCATTAGTTTTTTTTTTTTTGAGAATCGCCCTCCGCATTAGTTAAGAGTAAACCTGATCATTCACTGGGCCGGGCCTGGTTTAGGCCGGGCTTGTCAAAGCCCAAAGCAAAAATCACAAGCCCGGGCCTGCCCCGGCCTGAAACACCTGAACAGTTATATTTTCCAATTAAATAAATAATATCCGGGGTATTAACACAATAGCATATACCTATATTTTAAGGAAAATATACATTATGATCATTTTGGGCTTTTGGGCTGGGCTTCAAGCAAGAAAATGGAGCCGGAGCCTGAGCCCGGCCTGTATGCACATCTCTCCGGGCCGGGTTGTTTATGCACAGGTCTAGTTAAGGGAACTCTTAGTTCATCCTTCGCACTTTACTTTCAAGTTTAGGTTGCTGATATAAGTTAGTATAAAGTTGAGTCACTTATTTTGGGACGGATGGAGTACTGCTTATGAAATATGTTTTATAATGTTTAAACATTTTTTGAAATATCATGTATCTTTTTTTTGTAACACATAAATATTTTTTAAATGTCACAAACACAAGAATATAAGTTGGTTTCTTACGTAGAACAAGGACTAACAACATGAAAAATGTTATCCCTTTTGGACATGTTGTGTTGTTGTAGCATGGTGGTAATCTTAGTTAACGTTCACCACGAGGTCACACGATCGAGCCATAGTGCTCCCTTTTTTTGGGTTACATTTCTTTTAAATTTTATTTTTCGGTCTGTGTTTATAATAAAGGAATTAGTCGTGATATCATAACACGAATGATCATCGGACCCACGGTCTGGTGTGGTTGTCCACCCGGCCCTACTAGGGGCAGGTTGCGGCTTTGAAACCCCACCATTCATGTTTTTCTTTTTTATTTTAGGGGCTTAATACGTAAATAAAAAAACTAAGGGCTTTTCTATAAATCTATCATGCGACAGTGGCTGACAGCAGGCCCTGGCCCCGCTGGCATGCCATGTAGGCCATGAATACACCCGTGTATGGGAAATGTGACTGTATATGAATGCCCGTGCAAGTTTGATGGCCAGAAACATATATTTTGCAAGTTTGTGCACTATACAGATTATCGCATGCAAGTTCGTCTATTTACCTCTTTCGGGTGCATAGTGTATATGTTATGAATTTAGATAATTTTATTTATTGTCATGCATGACATCAAGTAATGTACATTATTTATTACTCCCTCCTTTCCATAAAGTAGTTCACATAGTTTTTCTAAAAGTCAAACCTTACCAAGTTTGACCAAGTTTATGGCCAAACACATACCCTTAAATTCCTCATAACATGCAGTTTCATTCATTATTTTTATTTTTATTTTTTTCGAAACGAAGGCATACGCTTTGCCTCATCTATTAATTAAGGAGGAGAAGAGTTTGTGTTACGAGAAACCCTTACAACCTAAATTGTTACTCTCCCAAAATGAAACTCCCTAACTTCTTTGCTCCCGCTTTCGCACAAAGCTTGGCCTCATCTTGAATTAAGCATAAAGGATAGGTGGAGGAGCGCTTTTTTGTCGGAATACGCGGGTATTACGCTCGTTCCAAATCGTCCAACATACAAGCATGGTGAGGAAAGCCATAGCTTTTCGGTTAGGTATGTTATCGCCCGAAGAGTTGATCCACCAATCCTTCATGAAATCTTATAGGTGCCACGAAGAGGTGTCAATGTGTCCAAGTTGCAGCCAAGCCTTGACAAGGTTCCAAAGGTAAAGAGTGAAAGGGCATTTTTAGAAAAGATGTGGCTCGGATTCTTGTTCCCGCCTACATAAAGGACATAGACCGCAATTTGGCCATCCCCGCTTGGCCAAGCGGTCGACGTCCCAAATCCTATCTTGGATTGCCAACCATGCGAAGAATTTTACCTTGGGGGAGCCTTCCAAACCGCATGCTCCATAGGTGAGAAAGTGAAAGTGAGTCCCAAGAATTGGGTATTGTAAGCGGACGCCGTCGAGTAATGGCAACTAGCGTGTGTGTGCTTCCAAGAGATATCATCCTCCACGAGCTCATCCAACTGAACGCCATGTATTAGGGACCAAAGCACCACAAACTCATGTAAGTGGTTCCACGAGAAAGCGTTGTTGAGCTTGTGATAACCCACAAGTATAGGGGATTGTTTGTAGGCCTTTTTGACAAATAAGAGTGTCGAACCCAACAAGAATCTAAAGGTAGAACAAATATTCCCTCAAGTTCTATCGACCACTGATACAACTCTACGCACACTTAATGTATGCTTTACCTAGAACAAGAATAAAACTAGAAGTACTTTGTAGGTATGAAGGGATAAGTTTGCAAGATAATAAAAATGTAAAAATAAAAAGTAGGTGCTACTTAGATAAAGAAATAATTAAATTAGTATAACGAGTGTGGATTAGTGTGGTAGGACTTGCGGAATTGCCCCTTAGCAATTGACTACGTTACTAGACCGATAGAAAGTTTTTATGTGGGAGAGGCCTCTGCTAGCATGTCGTCCCTTACTTGGAATTCTATGCACTTATGATTGAAGCTATTAGCAAGCATCCGCAACTACTAACATTCATTAAGGTAAAACTCAACCATAGCATTAAGATATATATTGGTCCCCCTTCAATCCCGTATGCATCAATTTCTATGTTTAGGAAGAAGCTTCTCTCACCCTTGACCTCCAATGCATAGTACTATCAACATACAATTAACCCTATGGCGTGATCCACACGCGCGCTCATATGATGGGCACCAAAAGAAAGCAACATAACCACAAGCAAATTAAACCAATCATAGCAATTCACCAATTACCGGTAGGACAACAAAAATCTACTCAGACGTTATAGGATGGCAACATATCATTGGATAATAATATGAAGCATAAAGCACCATGTTCAAGTAGAGGGTACAGTGGGTTGCGTGAGAGTGGGCCGCTATAGATAGATGGGGGAAGGTGATGAAGTTGTTAGTGAAGATGACGGAGTTGTTGGAGTAGATCGCCATCACACGATGATTGCCCCGGCGGCGTTCCGGCGCCACCGGGAGAGAGGGAGAGAGAGCCCCTCTCCTTCTTCTGTTTCTTCATTGGCCTCCCCCTAGATGGGAGGAGAGTTTCCCCTCTGGTCCCCTTCTTCTTCTTCTTCTTCATTGGCCTCCCCCTAGATGGGAGGAAAGTTTCCGCTCTAGTCCATGGCCTCCATGGTGGCAGAGGGGCAGGAGCCCCTCCGAGATTGGATCTCCCTCTCTATTCTCTTCTGTTTCGCGCTCCTAGATCTGGCCAAAAACTGTTTCTTCAATATCTGGAGATCCGTAACTCTGATTGCGCTGAGATTTTAATACGGTTTTTTTCCGGATATAAGCTTCCTTGCACCCGAAGTAGAGCTCCAACCGCCTTACGAGGTGAGCACAACCCACCACCCCGCGCCTGGGGCCTAGGGCGTGCCCTAGTGTCTCGTGGGGGCTGTGGGCCTCCTTTTGCATTGATTCCACCTTCCAAAAATCATATATTTCAAAATAATTCTCTTTAAATTTTTATTGAATTTGGACTTCGTTTGATATGGATATTCTGCGAAATAAAAAACATGCAAAAAAACAGGAACTGGCACTAGGCACTGGATCAATATGTTAGTCCCAAAAAATAATATAAAATGTTGCCAAAAGTATGTAAAAGTTGTATAATATTGGTACGGAACAATCAAAAATTCTAGATACGACGGAGACGTATCAGCTTGATTTTTGAAATCCAAGCATTGTCTTTGAGAGCTTCCCGAACTTTTTGTATTTTCCTTGTCGACGCCTCGAAAATATGCGGAGCTATATCCTTTGGCTTGATCCCAAAATCCCAAGGGGAGTCCCAAAAGGGGGTCTTGGCGCCGTTCCCAACGACGATGATGGTGGATGAATAGAAGAAGTCAAGGTCTCTCTCATCACAACGGTTGCGCATGCCAACCCAAACTTTGCTCGGCTCTTTCCATTCATACCAAGGCCATCATAATCTAAGTTCATGCGCGAATTTGTTGGTGTTGAGGACTCCAAGACCCCCATAGAACAAGGAGTGGCACACGTTGTTCCATTTACTTTGCATTTTGCTCCGGTTGTCTTGCCTGACCCGGACCAAAGAAAGGCCCTCTCAAGCTTGTTAGTGTTGCGAAGCGTGCTTGGCAGAACGATTAGAGGTGTAATAGAAAACACCACTTGGGAGGTAAGCACTGACTTGACAAGACTCGTGCGGCCGATGGTAGTGATGTTTTGGCCCTCCCAAGGGACGAGCTTCATGGCCACCCTGTCTTTCAAAAATTGGAAGTCCACCTTTTCAAGTTTCAAAATCAAAAACGGGAGACCCAAATATCGCATAGGAAAGGATGTCTTCGCGGCCGGCAAGCTTCAGAGAATGTGATCCAAATTAATGTGGTTGCACTGGATGGAAACTACCGAGCTCTTATGGACGCTGGTGCACAAGCCCGTGACTTGGTTGAAGTATTTGAGGATGATGGAAAAATCCTTTTTGATCAGTACCATGAACACCGCCGCATCATCCGCATATAGAGAGGTCCGCACCATGGCGCCCCCTTGCTCGTGGCCAATTGGAGGATTTTTTGTAGAGGGTCAATAGCAATGACAAAGAACAAGGGGGAGAGCGGATCCCCCGGCGAAACCTTATATATTCAGTATTGATATATAAATAGTTTTCTCTACACATTTGGTTAAATTTTACAAAGTTTGACTTTTAGAAAGTCCATATTGCCTTTTATACATCTAGTGGGGAATGTACCGGAGATGGGCTCTTTTATTATATAGCAAGGTAAACATTAGTCCTTGATTGATGCGTCGGGTAAATCATTTATTAACAAAACCATTTTGTGTCGTGTAACTCATGTATTTTGTCGGTCAAGGTCAAAGGTGAAGTACATAAGTGAATGTCTTTGACTAACCAACAGGGTGGACAAGAACGCTGACGGGAAGATCAGCGAGGCGGAGGTCAAACAGGTGAATTCCAACTACTCTTTCACTGGTTCATTCAAGCATCTCCATTCTCCAACAACAGGAATGGAGGGGGTGTGTGTTCTCTTATTTTCAACGATGAACGATTCTCGCTCGAAAAGACTGTCATTGAACATTTGCACATCAATGAGGGCTATTCTGATCTGGTCTGCAGATCATCACGTTGAGCGCGTCGGCGAACCATCTAACAATAACCGCACAACAGTCCGAGGAGTATGTCAAGCTCATCATGGAGGAGTTGGACCCCCACGGCCGTGGCTACATCGAGGTAATTAACTCTGATGCGACCAACCGGTGGCAGACCTAGAATTGTTCTATTAGAGTGCTAAATACTACCTTCCATCTGGTTTATAGCGTTCAATTCAAAAATCTCGCCAACTAAGATAGATGATGAGTGATGGGATATTTTTTATACTTTACAAAAGTACTCAATTAATGCGATTATTTTTACCAAAAAATGTCTTTACTAATGTTTTAATTGCAATGCATGCATGCGTGAATAACCAAAAAATATTTATATGCATTGATGAGTTTCTCTTAATCCTCGCATAGAGTGATTTAACGCACCTTAAAATTTGAACATGTGATTGGGAGCAATAAAAATAAAACTTATAAAACAGAAAAACGAAAATTTTAAGATAAGTAGTATAAAATGGAAAGAAGGTAGTAGTGTAATTTGATTAAGTATCATCATAATCCTAGCAAGTACTACTCTTCAAATAGCATTGTGTTGTTAATTTGCAGCTGCACAGCTTGGAGATGCTATTACTGAAGCCGTTAAGCGAGACGATGACCAAGGGCGGTAAAGTGGCGGAACCCAATTGGCACAAGCAGTTGTACCGCCGCGCCCGGTACTTCCTGAAGGACAATTGCCGCCGCTGCTGGGTGATGCTCCTGTGGCTATCCATCTGCACGGGGCTATTCACTTGGAAGTTCATGCAGTACCGCCACCGCGCTGTGTTCAAGGTGATGGGCTACTGCGTGTGTGTGGCCAAGGGTGGCGCCGAGACACTCAAGTTCAACATGGCGCTCACTCTCCTTCCAGTGTGCCGCAACGCCGTCACGTGGCTTCGGAGCCGCACCACGCTCGGGCGGTTTGTGCCATTTAACGACAACCTCAACTTCCACAAGGTGATCGCTGTGGGGATTTCTGTCGGCGCCGGGCTTCATATCATCTCTCACCTGACGTGCGACTTCCCGAGGCTGGTGCACGCCACCGATGATGAGTATGAGCCCATGAAGCCATTCTTCGGCGACGTGAAGCCACCCAACTATTGGTGGTTCTTGAAGGGCACAGAAGGGTGGACCGGGCTAGTGATGTTGGTGCTTATGGCCATCACCTTTACACTCGCCACGGGGCGGTTCCGCAAAAGAGAGCTCCGACGCCCCAAGCCAAAGAAGTCTAACAGCCTCGTTGAGTCCAAGAACCCAAATAGCCTTCCCGGGCTGCTCGGCCGCCTCACCCGGTCCGTGAGTGCCTCGCACAACCGCCTCACTATGATCATCAACGCCTTGTTCAATCGCTTCACTGGGTACAATGCCTTCTTGTACACACACCATCTGTTCGTCATCGTCTACGCGCTGCTCATCGTCCACGGGCACTTCCTCTACCTCACCAAGAAGTGGCAAAAGAAGACGGTACGTTAACACATCAATCTTGTGGAATGGGGAGCTCTTGTAAAATTTTAAATACATGGAATCTCCATATATCTTTAGAAAAATAGTTAATTCTTCCAATTTGCACGAGAATTGCCTAAGCCAAAAAAATTGCTTGCACTCAAAAGAATAAACCTCTGGGTTCGATCGGTCATAGCTGACTGACAATTGAGTATTGACTGGAACTATTTGTGGTGCGTGCAGACGTGGATGTACCTTACAGTGCCAGTTGTCGTGTACGCGTGCGAACGACTGACACGAACACTGCGATCGAGGGTGCGGTTGGTGGAGAAGATCAAGGTGGCCGTGCACCCGCACCCCGCAAGCCTGCTGTCCCTGCACATGTCCAAGCCTGAGGGGTTCAGGTTCAAGGGCGGACAATACATCTTCATCAAATGCCCAGGCGTCTCAAAATTTGAGTGGTAAGCTGCAACAAACTTACAAACATCTCCGGCTGGCCGGCTCACTTAAGGGCTGTTTGGTTTTAGGACTAACAACATCACACTTTTTTTATATATTTTTATTAAACTTATATAATGTAGTTTAATAAAATTAAAGTCACAAGTTCGCAAAACTAAGATAAACTAGCTACCTTGGTAAGTGTAGATGGCATGGGATCTTACGGTGTGTTGGATTGCCACCAATGTCTGCCCTGCCAACCTTTTGGTCATGGCCGAAGTATTGGTTTTTGTTTGGATGATTGCCAATTCATTGGCAAGCGAAACCTCAACCAATTTTTTGGCTAGCCAACTTTTTGGCATGGCAAATCTTTGGCACAAAGACATTGTTAGTGTGGCACAAAGAAAAACATCTATCTATAGTGATACTAAGAGCATCTACAAGCAGAACCCTCAAGCGTCCCATTGGACAGCCCGGTCACTGTTCAGACAGGAGATAGGCTAAAAAACCACCCCAACTGTAATTCTTACTTTGTCCGGGCGTGTCCGGACAATCCACAAATCCCTATATCCAAGTCATACATGGGAAAGATATGGGGATGTCCACGCGTGTCCTAGAGGATGCCACGTAGGATTTGGCCCACTGCGGACCACCTTTTCTCTTTCTTTACTCTTTCTTTCTTCTCTCTCTTCCTCTCCGCCAATCATATGCATTTGACCCATGAGGATAATACAAGGAGTGATTGTTTTGCACGGAAAGTGAGGGTTCAAAATGGACGTGACTAGGCACTGACCGGGGAAGCCAATTTAAGCAATTGTGATTGTAGATGCTCTAATCTCTCTTGATTCGAAGTGTCATGTTGCTCCAGGGGTTGTGAGGTGTTGAGGACCTCGCATGTGAGGGTGTGTGATGTTTAATTTTATTTATCCTTCTCCTTTTAATTTTTACTTTTCTCACATCTTAATTCATGACGCTATTAAAATATGTGAACATCAAAACATAAACATTTTTTAAAATCCACCTTTTCAGATTCATTAATATTGATTAAATTCACTAATATTCTTGAATTTTGTGACCATTTTTTATGTTTGTGAAGATTTCATAAATCCAAAATTATATTTAATTTGTGAACATTTTTCAAATCCATGAATAATTTTAAATTCGTGAATGTTTTCTAGAACTCATGATTTTTAAAATTTTACAATATTTTAAAAACCCTTGAACATCTTTTAATTCAACTACCTACATAAAAAGATAACTGGTTTTTTGAGCTAGTAGTGTGGCGAGCTGGAAAAAAACTAAACGAGCGAGAGATGCGGAGAGTCGAGCTGAACAAGCGAGACCTTCCTCCGCTGGCCCATGTGAAACAACAATTTCACGGTTTTAGCATGGAATAAGAGCTCCCAGGAGGCTCAAACAACCATCACCGGCTGACCCCGAGGCCGAAACATGTAAAGACACCACAACCACACATCAAACAACTTCATTCTCCTCTCGGAACAAATAATATCTCAAACAGCAACCCAATATGATATATGTTTATGTTTATGTTCACATATATATAAAACAGCAACCACACATCAAACCACTCTCTATTTTGACGGATACTACATACAACATACAAAACGCAAGTGGTGGTAACTACCACTGCTTGTAGGAAACATTTGTCCTATATATATATATATATATATATATATATATATATATATATATATATATATATATATATATTATATATATATATATATATATATATTATATATATATATATATAACACCGCCAGAACATAATTAAGACACAAGCCAACAGAGATAAAATCAAAGCAAAACTACTTATTGTAAGAATATTCTAGATATAAAAGAGTTAATCCCACAAATTAAGAGTGGCGAGGTGAAGCGCGCCTTAGCCTCTAGTCTGGACTAAGGTGTAACTTGAACCAAATACTTACTTTCTTTCGCGAATATGCAAGGATATATTGAACCAAACACTCACTTAAGTTGATCGTCTTTTTTCTAGATCTCATGTGTGACAATTTTATTCTCAAACAAAATAACCCCTCAATGAAATAGCGATTTGTCTAATGGGTGAACTGAATGAGCGTTCAGGCACCCGTTCTCCATCACATCGGCGCCAGAGGATGACTGTGTCAACGTCCACATCAAGGCGCTTGGTGACTGGACCGAAGACCTCAGGGACGCCTTCCTTAAGGTATTGTTGTGATTAGTAACATTGATCTCATCATAGTCAACCCCAAAAGCTCTGGAACCATATCTATCGCTAAACGTGTGTGTACAAATTGTAGGTTTGCCCGAACACGGAGGGGAAGAACGAGATTCGCCAGGTAGAGTATGACCGCGACGACGCCAAGTCCGACCCAAGGTATGTACGTATGAGCAAAAGTTGACTTTTTCCCGTGAAATCCGGTCCCATTTTCTCCTCTTGGATCATGAGTTTGAAATCGATTCGATCGGACATACCTTTGTGATGCAATCTTTAGCTATCCTCACCCTTTGGATGTATAGATCTGTAGCAAGAGAAAGGGCTTCAAAGCAAGCATGATCTTCTAGAATCTCCGGATCAACAAGACCTTGAAAAAAGGTCATCAATGCTCCCATGTATCTTCCTTGACCATCCCTGCAAATTGCCGCGCGGCAACCTCTCTCACTATGTTGAGAAACAACTACGTCAACATTGACCTTTGGCCCTCCATCTAGGGATTTAATCCACCTTGGTTCTCTCGGCCTCTAAACAGCAAAATAAGCCAACTTCTTCTCCACTCAAGATCCTTCGAGTATCTCAGAACGAACAGCCTTGTGGACAGTGGACTCTGAAAGATTTGTTCATGCTTCACCTTTCGTCTCGCCTACCATATCACCCACAAGGTTACGAGGAGATTTGCAAAGTCTTATATGCTCCACAAGCTCCTCCTTCATAAGTGCCCACACACACTTAGACATATGGCAATCAAGTAAAGCGTGATGCCATACTGATGCATTGCATATCACACACATAGATCATCCTCGGATATTTTCCTCCTCTTTACAGTGTGTTTGGTTCAGGGGAATTAGAGATGGGGAATGGAAGTTAAGGGGTGAGGAGATTAAAAATTCACTATTTGATTAGAGGAAATGGGAGTTTAAGTGGGAAGGAGAATGGGAGTTGAGGAAGCCAATTCCCACCGATTTCTTCCCAGGGATACCCTGCTAATTCGTGAGCTGAGTTTTATCCCACACAAATTCCCACCATAAACCAAACAAGGGAATGGGAGTAAAAATCTACTTCTCATGCCTAATCCCTCCATAAATACCATTGTGCAAACTCCCATTCCCCTGCCTGAGTTTACCAAACAGGCTTAGAGTTTCACCGGTAGGAATGCTATTTTCTTTACTAGATGCCATGCAAACGATCACACCTTTGCCGGCACCTTGGCCAACCACAGTTTAGTCCAATGACTTTTGGACTTTCCTGTATCCGACTTGCTAGGCCTATCTTCCAGTATCGATGGATGATTTGTTTGATTGATTGATATGTTTTCTTTTCTCAAATGATAAGTGCCACACGTGTGGCATGAAGTAACAATGGTCTGACATTTTTACAACTAAAATTGCCGTCCAAAAAAAAGGTAAAAAAAAAACTTAAGCTTACCGTCCAAACAGAATGTTGACATGCTTCACGACTAAAGTTGCCATCCTTAAAAACTGAACTTGCCATTAAAAAACGTCAGGACGGAATAGCTTCGTGCCACACGTGTGACACTAATCAGGATCCTTTTTTATGGATTGATTGATATATGGAAAATATCAAGGTGTAATTGTCCGATGGGTGGGCAGGACTAGTATAGTGGTGATGGCATGTCCCGTGGCATCTCCCGGTTGTTGCTTTTTAGGGGCCAAGCTTAGGCTACAGTTTTAAGTCCAAACGCCAAGCCCGAAAGTACGAAATAGCTCGAAACTAGGGTTTTAGTGAAAATAGCAGGCTAAATAGTTAAATTGATATTTTTATACATGAAACTGTCATTGCTTATTTATTTTGGGCTGAGTTTGGACTTTGGATTCCAAGGACGAGTATTTAAAAGCTCGGTCAGAGGACTCCCGGGTTTTGTCAGGAGGATGAACGGCCATATGTAAGAGACAATAAGAACAATTTTATGGACCGGAAAGAATATTTTCCCTTCCTACTGCAACTATGCGTTAATAAAATCCATCTGCTACCATGTTTTCCTCGCGCAATTGCTGTCTTTGGCCATGTGGATCTATCTTGAAAAATTAAATACCAACTTAATCTGCAGATTCCCCAAGATACTAATCGATGGGCCGTATGGTGCACCCGCGGAGGATTACAAGCAGCACAGGCGGAGCTCCCGGTAGGGCGAGGTTGGGCGCTCGCCCTACCTTGATTTTTGGCGTTTCTGCTTTGTGTATACGTATATATAACGTGATCGATCGCTAAAAAATAGAACAGCTTAAAAATCAGCGTGAAACGTTTTGTTGGGCCGTGATTACCCAATCAACTGGGCCGTAGCAAGTAGCAGGTCCCGACGCCTCGCTCGATCCACTCTATCGATCGTCCGCACGCCAGCTCCAGGATCCAGAGTCGAGCGACTCCGCTTCTAGTCGACACACAAACCCTAGCAGGAAAAGGGGCGAGCTCGCACCTTCGCGGCGGCCAACCAAGCGCGCGCGTGAGGCCAACGGCCAGAAGGAGCGCGCATGCAGACGTGGTCGTGTACTCATGTTTCCGGCGACCAGCAGCACACTGTGCGCGTGAGGCCGGTGGGCAGTACGAGACCATGAACGGGAAGGGAATATGGCTAGCAAAGATACTGAACATAGGTAATTTGGTTTTGAATTTTAGTGTCATTTGTTAGATAGTGGTTTGATAATCTACATATAATGATTGGTGGCATTTTTTGTGATGAATTGCATATTTGAAAATAATATTTTCTGGTAGTTGTTAGCCACATCAAAAATATACTCTCTCCGTTCATAAAGGTATAAGATATTTGGATTTTTAAACATAGACTGCATACGTACTGTAATGCATTAAAATATATCTACATACATTCAATTCAAGAAAAAGCTACTAGAACATCTTATATTTATGAATGGATGGAGTATATGCTTAAGAGTTCGCCCCATCTCAAAAATAATCCGTCCTCCGCCACTGCTGCCACTGACAAGCAGTACGAGGTTGTGCTACTGGTGGGACTCGGCATCGGCGCCACGCCCATGATCTCGATCATCAAGGACATCATCAACAACACGAAGCGGCTCGGGGACATCGAGTCTGTCAACCCCGTCCCCGGCGACGCAAGCCCGTCGGCGTCGTTCAAGACTCGCCGTGCCTACTTCTACTGGACCACCAGGGAGCAAGGCTCCTTCGAGTGGTTCCGTGGGATCATGGACGAGGTGGCCGAGACGGACGAGGATGGCATCATCAAGCTCCACACCCACTGCACCAGCGTCCACAAGGAGGGCGACGCCCGGTCGGCGCCCCTCACCATTCTCCAGTCGCTGTACTATGCCAAGCACGGCATTGACATCATCTCCGGCAGTCGAGTCAAGACCACCTTCGGGCGAGCAAACTGGCGTGAGGCCTACGAGCGCATCGCTCAGGAGAATCAAGAAAAACGCGTCGGTCAGTACCATACGGAAACTAACTACTACTCCTGTTTTGCAATACGAAACTACTGCACGTATGATTATGGCTTTGTCCGATTAACATCCAACGGTTGCAGACAAGTGGGGCCATGCTCACGAATACGACGCTGGCCTACTGACAGGCAGGTCATCCAGGGAAAATTGCACAAATACACAACATTTGAGGCTTAGTAAAGAAGTATTGCGTCCGTAAAGTAATATAAGATCGTTTAGATCACTAGGGAATACATATATAATCAGTCACGACAATTTCTAGCACCACACACTTTCTGTGCGTAGCACAATTAGCATGCTGGAGAAGCTGCATCTTGGAGTTCTAACCACAGTCTAGATAGAAATGGTCAATACACGCATAGTTAGTTGAGCTTTGGTATATGCACATAGAGAAAAATACATAAATATACAACATTTGAGGCTGAGGTAGCAAAAAACTACAACTCTGGGGTATTTTAACAAATACCACAACTCTATGACTAATGAGAAATATAACATGTGGGCCCCATGTGTTAATTTTAAAAATATTCAAAGTTAAAAAATAAAATTTTCAAAAAAGAACTGAAAAAAGTAGTAATTCACTCCATCTCTGTTGATCAATTTGGGAAATTTGCAGCCTATTTTACTTGGCCACTTTAAGTTTGGACAGTTTTTGTAAGTCAACGCATTCATGTTCATACAAAAATTGTCCAAACTTTAATACATCAAAGTAAAATAGGCTGAAATTTTCCTGGATTGATCAACAAAGATGGATAGTACTACAAATTTTTATTTTTGGATTTTTTGAATTTATTTATTTATTTAAAGAACTTTAAGTATTCTAATTTTTCTAGATCAAGCCGAACTGTCCCGCTAGTCACTTAACACATGAGACCCGCACGTCATATTTTTCATTAAGTGACTAATCGAAGCAATCTGTGTTTTTTGTTACTGATTAGTCCTGGAGTTGTGTTTTTTATTAACAACCCTTAGAGTTGTAGTTTTTTGTTACCTCAGCCCCGAATATTGTGTATTTCTGAAATTTCCTCATGCACATATATAGTATTCGTGGATAATATCTCTTACCTAATTGTGACATACCAATCAAGGCATGAGCTTCTTGTCTCAGTCCACTGCATAATTAAGAGCAACATGATCAATCAACTAGCAACACTTTTGTGCATACATAGCATTGCTTTTCTGAATTGACACTAACCCTGTGTTTCTTGGATATCGCAGGAGTGTTCTACTGCGGCATGCCGACACTGACAAATGAATTGCGCTATCTTGCAAAGGATCTCTCGAGAAAAACAAGGACACAATTCGAGTTCCACAAGGAGAACTTCTAGTTTTGCCAGCCATCCAGCCACAAGAAGTTTCTCTTTTTGCAGAAACCATGTTAATTTAGTACATACCACATTCGCAAAAGAAGAAATTTACTACATACCAAGTACTAAATTATCATGATATATTATCTTCTCATATACGGAGTACAATGTACGGACACTTTTTCATTGTCATGTAACTATATATGGTGTCTATATTGACTACGCTATTTATCATGCGTTATTATATAATAATTTACTTATGGTACCATGCTATGAGTGTTGGTATTTGACCTTTCCTTAGTCCGTTAGACCTTACTCTGTTATGGGGAGAATTTCTCTTCGTTTATTTTAAATGTAAGTGGTAGGATATGGATACTTCATGCTATGAGACCCTATGCATTCAAAAACCTGTATAAGGTACTTGTGTCTTGCTGCTTTTGGTTAAGTACTTGGAAATTTTGTCGACTTTCTTGGTTTAAGAAAGGATGCTAGACAAAAAAGGTTTTATGATGTCACCTCTATTGCGCTGAGTTTGGTTTCATGGTTAACATTGACCGACTGAACCATTTGGAAAATATGATTGGTGTCGGTTGACAATATTTATGTCGTATTGGAGGAGGGAGGTTTGGTGCCTGGGCTCACATGCACCTGATATGAGCAGTAAATTCAAAAAAAACTTGTTTCCTTTGGCACTGAAGATGCTCAAGTGTGCTAGGGCGTGCAAATGTTTTGGGACAAATGAAATTTGAGTAGCTCTAGACAAAAAAAGCCTCTTAGATATCAACGAAAAAAAGGCATTTTAAAGGCCTGGTATTTTTTGTCTATTATTTCAAATTTATTGTTCATGCGGGAGTAGATGAATCTCAGCTCATCTATGGATTACGCTTTGTGTTGGTTGTCCCGCTTTGTGTTGGTTGTCCCTATAATACCTTTTCAACTACTTCCTTCGTCTCATAATATAAAATCGTTTTGCAAGCTATTGCAAGACGATCTAGAGGGGGTGTTTGTCATCTCTGTTTTCTTGGAAGAAAGATACTCTTCTGCTATGAATTTTCAGATTCTACTACGTGGAGAAGTTCACGTCGTCACGTGTGCCAGAGCTTCGATCAGCCATGGAATTAGCTGCTTTGCTTCATTACAGACCTACTATGTGTAGGGATTCACACAATCACGATGCTGCCAAGAGGACAACGAATGCTCCGCGTATGGAGCTTGTCATTCTTTACAAAGAAGTAGTTTGGGAGAAACATGGTAATTAGCTGCGGATGTTACATGGTTTTTCTTTTTACGTAAAGCAATCACCATACATAGTCAATGTAGAAATACCAAAACATCTTATATTTGTGAACGGAGTGAATATTATTTATTTATCTTCATTCTTGAAAAGAAGTCATCTGGGACAAACATGGTAGTTAGCTGCAGGCGGATGTTACATGTTGGAACGGAGAATGGACGGAGGAGATCGCTTGATGCTCGTTGTCGGCACCAAGATCCGCCTCGCGCTCCTCGGACGACGTGCTCTTGCGACCCACTCACGTATGCGTGCATGATTAAAAGCAGCGTACATGTCCGGATTCTATGACGAGAGACTGACTAGATTCTAGACGTACTCGAATGGCAATAGCCATGGAACATGAAAATCACGTAATAACTACATAAAAGTACCTTGTTTATTTATCGCCACATGGACTTTCTTCCACGATGAATGGTAATAAGATCGATCCAGACAGACACGAACTCGGAATCGTCAGCCCGGCATGCAGCTACACGAGGAGGTTGAGCAGAGGAGGGTCTGACGCGGCGGAACAATCTCCTCGGTCGTCACCGCCGCGATGATCCTCCAGCGGCGGCGGGCAGTTCAAGTCCAGCGCCTCCTCCTCCTGCTGGTGGTGCTCATCCTGCACGCGCGCCGCCTGTGCCCCGGCCTGCTTGTGCCAGCGCACGTGCCCGCCTGGCGCCTCTTCCTCCTCCACACGCGGCTGAGGCGCCTGCGCGTCGGCCTGCTCGTGCCAGCCCAGCGCCACCTCCTCCTCCACAGGCGCCTGTGCGCCGGCCTCCTTGTGCCGGCGCATGTGCACTGCGCCCAGCGCCTCCTCCACGTGCGCCTGTGGCTCAACCTGCTTGTGCCGGCGCATGTGGCCGCCGAGCGCCTGGCCCATGGCGAACTCGAGCCCGCAGACGGCGCACTCGTGGTGCGGCCGAGGCTTGCGAGGGGCGGGCCGCTGCTGGCGCGCCTGCAGCCGCGTGTGGCCCGTCCGGTGCCCGCCCAGCGCCTGGAACGTCGGGAACCGCCTGCTGCACGTCCTGCACACGAACGCGCCCCCATCGCCGTCGCCGCCGCCTGCGGGTGGCCGCCTGCGAGAGCCGGTCGCCGCCCGATCGTCCGCGCCGGGCGTGGCGGGCGGCGTGAGCTGCTGCGCGTCGGCGTGCGCGCTCTCGGCCCCGGCGGCGGCCACGTCCCACCGCGGCAACTTCATGGTGTCCCGCGGGAAAGGTTCCCCCCGGACGATCTTTTTAACGTCGCGGCTGGCTTCTCCTCTCTGGGTGGGTACGTGCGTGCGTGCCCGGCCCGCACAAGCAAACACGCGCTGCCTTCCGATTAGCTAGGAGCGGCACGTAGTAGTAGTAGTACTGTGCTAAGCTAAGTAGCGGACGAAAAGCGATCCGGGCGGGCGAAGTCGGCTGGGGAGATATGCGTCCGATCCGACCGAACGACTGGCATGTAGGGGATGGGATCTTTGGTGGCGGGCGGGGGCGATCGGCGTCGTCGGTTCGATCCTGGGGGTGGTGGAGACTGTGGCCCGGGCGAGCGATCGACAAGGCGTCGCTGTCGCGCCACAGCGCGCCTGCTCGCGTGTCGCCCGGCCCTTCGTCGCCGCAGGCCCGCGTACGTATAAGCTGGTGGTTTGGTGACGACGCCAGATATTAGCAAGCAAGCGTGTGCCGGGAGTGACTTTTCTTTCTTTCCACTGCTTTCCCATGGGTTCGTTCACCTTCGTTGAGACGGAGGAGCTAGCGTGGCATGGTTAACGAACATACTACTAAAGCGTGACTGTCGCGGTGAGTGGTGTCGGACGGTGGTCGTCGGTGGCCAAGTCGTGGTTGCTTGCTTGCTTGCTCGCTCGTGGAGAAGTGATGAGACCATGATGTTTGTGTGCTACTACCTCGGAAGTATGTGTGGTTATCTGTCGTGTGTCAGGTCGGCCGACGGTGCCTCCGATGTTACCATGGAATCTCATGTCCCTTGTGTGGACGGTTGTGGCGGTTTTAAACCGGATTTGCGCAATTAACCGGGAAGTTCTCTTCCTATAATCAAAATACATTGATCGAGGCAATTGCCTCCGAGTTCAACAAACAAGCGGAGGGAAGGCAACGTAGTTACATGACTTGCATCGATCCAGGATCTTCATATGCTCCCTGGTCACAACTGTCTACCTTCATAGCTGCAAGGTGAATTTTTGGCAAACTCTGGTATTGTTGCTTTCAGCGGAACATTTACAACCCGTTTGACAGCAAAGTACTCCCTCCGTAAACTAATATAAAAGCGTTTAGAATACTAAAGTAGTGATCTAAACGCTCTTATATTAGTTTACAGAGGGAGTACTCTCTAAGTGTTTTGAGAATACTATAGTGTTTTTGAGGTTACCATAGTTTTATTTACAATGAGTTGTTTTGTTGCCCCTAACAACTATGGTTTTAATATTGTAGTATTACGAAATCTATAGTTTTTCTCTACATAATAGAAAGAACCCAAGACCTCTTTTCTTAAAAACAGAGCTACTGAGTGCTTAAACGCAACAGCTAGGTAGCAAAATTTACTGTGTTGTATGGCAACAGCCAAACAGGTTCTATGTATCGTGAATACTCCAAAATACTCTATTTTGGTAAAACCATGATATCTCATACCTATAGGCAAAATTGCTGCAGTTTTTGATACTTTGGTTTATATAGTACTTTGCTATCAAACACAGCCTACTTCTTTGAAGTGAGAAGGTGGCCTGTTAACCTCTATAAGCATTGTACTGACACGACAAGTAACAGTAAAACAACAAGGAGATGAACTGAACCAAGCAAAATCGAGACGGTCACATTTCACAATCTTTGTCCACACAAATTTCGAGCACTCGTAAAACTGAACACATATAATGTCAACGAAAACGCGTAATTTTACACCCACAGATTCCGACATTTCCCCTCATTTCTCCTTTGACACTGAAATGAACACATTGGTCCAGTGCCATCTTCGTCCACAAGAACAGGACACGTCACATTAGCAGAGATTTGGCAAAGTGCTCTCTTGCTGTTGTTAGGGCCTGAACTATAGTCTGCATACAGAAAACATTTACTTAGTTCCGTTAAAGCAAACCCTTTCTACTAGGAGATAGCAACCAGTTTCATAAGTAGAAAAAGATTATGTTGTCTGCAACCTACCTGCTCGGCGATTGATGTGGTACCCTCTGCTCCATGAGCTAGTACCTTTTCAGCTATCACACTTCCTTCTGTTTCTAGGACAATCCTGGGAAGCCATTCAAGAAAATAAAGTAAAACTTAAGTAAATGAACAAGGAAATCTTGAAGACTAGTCATATATGGAAGCCTGGAAAAAACATGTGAATCAATGGTATTTAATATATAAATAACATTTCGAAATGAGAAGCTTGTTATTCCAGATCTTTCAAGTTCAAGACATCTTTTTATTTATCAAATCTTTTTATTTACATATTAACTAATGGCATGTGCCTTTTCTTTTGTGCAGGTACCAATAGAATTCCTTTTTCATGCCACCACTCCCAAAACCGGTGTTATCATGAGCAGGCAGATGAGCAAGGTCAAGTGTTATAGAGAAGATGAAGAAATACAATTGAACAATAAGAGGTAGTAAGATTAGGACTTACCCTCCATCAACAATTTCATCAAGGCATAATAGAATTAGATCCAGATTTTCAAGAGCTGTTCTTTTGTCGACATTATTTCTGAAACCAATGAGATGGAAAACAAATCCGTATGCAATCAGATGTTAACGTAACAATATTATGTTATAAAATAAATAGGTAGAAAATCTGACTATATTGAGCACCTAAGAATAATGTCAATGGCATCAGCGAATCCCTGAAGAACTGATGCTAAAATAAGTTCATTGTCCTCGTCTCCTCCAGTAACAAAAAAATGCAGGTCTTGGATGAACTTATACACAACAATTTGACCATCAAACATTACAATCTCAGCTGTAAATGGGGAAAGCAATAAATGGAACTTAATAGCTTGAATTAGATGAGTAGTCTTCAAGTAAGAAACACATACAGATCAACAGAAAGTTTCAGACGGACACGTCTCCTGTTTAAGTAGAAAAATCAACTCAAGCAAAGTGCAATACTATCCAAAATCATCTTCCAATTGGTGAGAATGGTGGAAGTGCGAAGCGATAACTTCAGCCAAAGCTAACAAAATGTAAATTACTTTCCACAAGCCCTAATGAAGGATACTGGTTTCCATATAAGTATATAATAATATGAGAATGAACTTATGCGCTTTTTTGTTAGATAAACTTATTTTGTGGCCTTACGGAGATGTTTGCATGTTGCCTAATTTGCATCACAAACCCATGCCAAAATTTGGCGCCTATCATGTTAGCACAAAATTTTCCGCCGAAAAAGAATTGCCAGCAGAACGAATGCTTGACATGTTTGTTTACGAATTTCCAGTGTTTTGGTAAAGGAAAAACTGGCCGCAATCAAAATTCATCTAGTGTGCAAGTGAGTGCAACCATAGAGGCACAAGGTTGCTAACCCACCCACCTAGTTCGAGAATCACTGCAACATCAATTATGGTCAGATGGTTAATATGTAATAAAGTTCGATTAGATGCATACTATTTTTTTAAGAAAATATGGCTTAGCAGGATGCTGCATTAGGTGTTAATTTGAGAGAGAGAAAAGGATGATGGCAAAACCTTATCAAAGAGAAGCATGAGAACAGAAGAGAAAGACATATAGATAATCATATTGTTGTTCATATACAAACAAATTAACATGTTTTTCACCCAAATAGTCATAATTTATGAGATAGTGATTAGCACCAAAGGAAGAACGACGGGAGATATGGTTAATTCAATTTTGTACCAAACTGTCAGTACAGAAGAAACCATAAATTGATTATAAAGAGCACTCCCCAACAGCAACCTGTTTTATGAGCATATGGAAAGCAGACAATTCTGTCAACAACAAATCAATGCAAGATATCAAACGCATGAATTTGCGGTTTCAGAAAGACAGCAAGCATTATGGACCAAAACATTGGAGTACTACAACTAACACCGATCATCAGACATACAAAATCACCTTCCCTGTTGTTAAAAATAGAATAAGGCAGAGTGCAAGTTACCCTCTGCCCCAGAGCTTGCTTTCTGGGTCTTGACGAACACCGACTTCTCGAAGGCCAGCTTCGCCGACAGCACGGGCCAATCATCCGTGTAGTACTTGACGGCGACGCGCTTCCCCTCGGAGTCCAGCAACAGAATGTTCTTCACCGACGGGCAGGTCTCCTGCGCGAACATACAACCAAGGATCAAACGAACAGCAACAACAAGCACAAACTGGCTCAGGCCACCATACAGCAGATCCCGATTTGCGCCCGCGTGGAAACACTGCCTGCCAGCCCAGACTGACAAGAAACATACGAGAGAGGATGAGCTGTGCCTCATCGGTAACTGAATCTCCGTGAAAGTTATCATATGATGCCGCCCATGCCCATGGCGGGAGCCGGCCGCGACGGATCGGGGCAAGTCGGGAAATCGACTGTACGGCGGGCGCAGAGCAAACGAAGAGCGTCGGGGGTGGTAGTGTTGCTTACCATTGGGGGAAGCCGGACGGGTTCGCTGGGAGCGCGGGGGGACGGGACGGCGGACGAGATCTCCGGCGGTTGCAGCGCAGACCGACGAAGGAAACGAAGCACGAGTAGACTACACGCTCCTCGTTGGGCTTTTACGCCGAAGCGTTGGCGTGCTTAGGGCCGGGCCGTAGTCAAATTTGCGAAACATTTTGACAATGTTTTGCGCAAAAAACAAAAAAATTGAAGCGTTGGCGTGCTTAGGGACGGGCCATATTCAAGGTTAGGCCATAGCTTTGCGAAACATTTTGCCTGAAAACTTTAATAGTGCACGAGCACTATTAGGCGAGACTGAGCGGCCGCGCCACGCGACAGGCCACGACAACCTCACCCGCTCGGTCCACCCCTTCATTGGATTTTTTTTTGGAAAAACAAATCTGATCCACTCCTGAGCCCCACGACCATCCTCCTCCACTAGCCACCGCCGCAGCGCACCCCGCCTCCTCCCTCGCGCCGCCTCCCGACGACGCCAACTCGTCGCCGCCGAGCTCCCCGTCGCGGTTGCCCATCGCCACCCCAGCAGGCATCACGTATTTCCCGCCACCATGAGCCGCCGCAGGAAGCAGTCCCCAACCTCCAATGTCGTCGCGGCTCATCTTCTGCCACGGGCACACGCCTCTCCGTCGTCGAGCGCCGCTCCCCTCGACCTGAACAGCGACGTCGACGGTTGGCGACCGACGCCACCATCATCCGGTGGCTCTTCCTCATCGTGTCCAAGGACATCTTTCACACTGTCGTTCGCGACAAGGATGATGCATGCACGGTGTGAAACAAGATCGTCAGCCTCTTCACCGACAACAAGCTCCAATGGATCGTCTTCCTGCAGCAAGATTTCTTCGGTTGTCATCAAAACGACTCCTCCGTTGACGACTACTGCATGCGTCTCAAGACCCTCTCCGACGAGCTCAACGACATTGGCTTCAAAGTGGGTGACGAGTTGCTCCTCTCCACCCTCACCGTCGGCCTCAATGAGGATCTCAACAACGCCGCCTCCAACCTCATCCTCATGGCGAACCCTACCTACGAGCGGGCGGTGGTGTATCTCCGTCTCGAGGAACGTCGGTTGAAGCATCTTCGCTCCCATGTTGTTCACACCGCCTACGCCGCCGGCTACTCGCGCAGCGGTCCTGCACCCGCGGGCGCGCCTCCCGTCTCCCTTCCAGGCGCCTCGGCCTGCGGCCCCTCCCACGTCGACCGGCGCCTACGGCGCCTCGTTCGAGCCGCGGCCCTAGGTTCCCGCGGCTCCTCTCCAACACCCGCCACAGCAGAAGTAGCAGCAGCCGCACCAGTGGCACCGCGACCGCGGCAAAGGCCAACAGCAACAGCCGACGCCGCTCTGGGGGGCAGCCACAACCGATGGACCGGGTTTGTGCACGCCTACACCATGCCCGTGCCATGGCCGCCCGCTCCGAGTCTTCTATGGCCCGGGCCCTTCGGCCATCAGGCTTTCTTCGCCGGTCAACAACCAGGCCCGGTCGCCCCGCAACCCTACTACTCCTCCGCTCTGGTTGGCTAAGGCGGGCCAAACCCTAGCGCTGGAGTGACCGGCTACTCAGGCTACCCCGCGCCGGTCTCCTATGACCCGACACTACTCGTTGCACCTGACCAATAGCCCCCGACCGGGGCTTATTCCGACGGTGGTGACTGGTTTATGGACATTGGTGCATCTTCGCATATGGCCGCTTACCCGGGTAACCTCTCTTCCGTGTCTCCTATCCACACTTCTTCTCGTATCATTGTCGGTAATGGTGTTGGTCTTCCTATCACTCACATTGGTTCCACTAGTTTTCGCTCCACCTCTAGACCACTTTATCTTAATAATGTTCTTGTGTCTCTGAACTTATTCAGAATTTAGTCTTTGTTCGTAAGCTTTCTCGTGATAACTCTGTAACTGTGGAATTTGATGAAGTTGGTTTTTCTGTTAAGGATGCCCTCATCCGGATGGTTCTTCACCGCTGTGACAGCCCCGTCGATATGTACTTCGTCCAGCCTTCATCATCCACACATGTCGGGTCGGTCGCTCTTTCTGCCGGCGTCGATCTTTGGCACGCCCCTCTTGGTCATCCTAGCTCCACCGCACTTTGTCAAATAATTAGGGATTTTTATTTTACATGTAATAAAATGGATGCGCATTCTTGTCACGCATGTCGTCTGGGCAAACATGTTCGCCTTCCCTTTAGTGATTCATCCACAGTTGCATCGTTACCTTTTGAGTTAATCCATAGTGATGTCTGGACCTCTCCCGTTGCTAGTAATACTGGTTTCTCATATTATCTTGTTATCTTAGATGACTACTCTCATTTTGTGTGGACCTTTCCATTGTGTAAGAAGTCTGATGCTGCTGCTACACTTGTCGCCTTCTACTCTTACGTGTCTACACAATTTGGCCATCCCATCCTCGCCTTGCAAACTGATAACGGAAAAGAGTTTGACAACACCACCATCTGCAACCTTCTCTCCACGCATGGCACAATTTTTGGCTCACATGTCCTTACACTTCACAGCAGAACGGTCGGGCTGAACGCATTCTTTGCACTCTTAACGATTGCATCCGTACCCTCCTCTTACATGCCTACATGCCTCCTCGCTTCTGGCCCGACGCTCTCGCTACTGCCACCCTCCTTATTAACCTTCGTCCATGTCGCACTCGCCGGAATTTTACACCACACCACCTTCTCTTTGGGTCTCCCCCCTCATACGATGGTCTTTGTATTTTTGGTTGTCTTTGTTATCCTAGTATTGCCGCCACCTCCCCTCATAAACTTGCTCCTCGTTCCCTTCCGTGTGTCTTCCTCGGTTACCCGGCTAACATAAAGGGCTATAGATGCTATGATCCAGCCTCTCACCATGTCATCACATCTCGACATGTTTATTTCGACGAGTTTTGTTTCCCGTTTAAACAGGAATAACAGGTGGCTTCTTCCTCCACGCCCGGTCCCTCTCTGGCCGACCCTGTCCGCCCTGGCTCCATGCCAAGGCGTGGTGCGCCCCTCGGTCGCGCGGCGCTACGGTGCTACCTCTTGAGCACTGCGTTGGTTTTTCCTTGAAGAGGAAAGGGTGATGCAGCAAAGTAGCATAAGTATTTCCCTCAGTTTTTGAGAACCAAGGTATCAATCCAGTAGGAGGCTCCTCAAAAGTCCCTCGTACCTACACAAACAAACAAGAACCTCGCAACCAACGCGATAAAGGGGTTGTCAATCCCTTCACGGTAACTTGCGAAAGTGAGATCTGGTAGAGATAATAAGATAAGATAAATATTTTTGGTATTTTTATGATATAGATTGGAAAGTAAAGATGCAAATAAAAGTAGATGAGAAACTTATATGATAAAAGATAGACCCGGGGCCATAGGTTTCACTAGTGGCTTCTCTCAAGATAGCATAAGTATTACGGTGGGTGAATAAATTACTGTCGAGCAATTGATAGAAAAGTGCATAGTTATGAGATTATCTAGGCATGATCATGTATATAGGCATCACGTCCGTGACAAGTAGATTGAAAAGATTCTGCAACTATTACTCCACACATCGACCGACTCCTGCCTACATCTAGAGTATTAAGTTCATGAAGAACTGAGTAAAGCATTAAGAAAGATGACATGATGTAGAGGGATAAACTCAAGCAATATGATATAAACCCCATCTTTTTATCCTCGATGGCAACAGTACAATACGTGCCTTGCTGCCCCTGCTGTCACTGGGAAAGGACACCGCAAGATTGAACCCAAAGCTAAACACTTCTCCCATTGCAAGAAAGATCAATCTAGTAGGGCAAACCAAACTGATAATTCGAAGAGACTTGCAAAGATAACCAATCATACATAAAATAATTCAGAGGAGATTCAAATATTTCTCATAGATAAACTTGATCATAAACCCACAATTCATCGGATCTCGACAAACACACCGCAAAAAGAGTTACATCGAATAGATCTCCAAGAAGATCAAGGAGAACTTTGTATTGAGATTCAAAGAGAGAGAAGAAGCCATCTAGCTAATAACTATGGACTCGAAGGTCTGTGGTAAACTACTCACAACTCATCGGAGAGGCCTTAGAGATGATGTAGAGGCCCTCCGTGGTCGATTCCCCCTCTGGCGGAGCGTCGGCGAAGGCTCCAAGATGGGATCTCACGGATACAGAAGGTTGCGACGGTGGAAATAGTTTTTCGTGGTGCTCCTGGATGTTTTCAGGGTACGTGGATATATATAGGAGAAGGAGGTAGGTCAGGGGAGCCACGAGGGGCCCACGAGGGTGGGGCGCGCCCACCCCCCTAGGGTATGTGGACATATTTTTTGATATCGGCTTCCGCTTGAGGACAAGCGAGGTCTAAGCTTGGGGGAGTTGATACGTCCATTTTGCATCATGCTTTTATATCGATATTTATTGCATTATGGGCTATTATTACACGTTATGCCACAATACTTATGGCTATTCTCTCTTATTTTGCAAGGTTTGTCATGAAGAGGGAGAATGTTGGCAGCTGGAATTCTGGGCTGGAAAAGGAGCAAATATTGGAAACCTATTCTGCACAGCTCCAAAAGACCTGAAACTCCGTGAAAGTCATTTTGGAATTAATAATAATTATTGAGAAAAGAAGTACCAGAGGGGGCCCACACCCTGGCCACGAGGGTGGGGGCGTGCCCACCCCTACTAGGTGCACCCCCTGCCTCATGGGCCCCCTGTTGACCCTTCGGTGCCCATCTTCTGCTATATGAAGGCTTTTACCCTGGAAAAAATCATAAGGAAGCTTGCGGGATGAAACTCCGCCGCCACGAGGCGGAACCTTCACAGAACCAATCTAGGGCTCCGGCAGAG